GGTAAGGACACTCTTCTGAACAAGACCCAATAAAATCGACGTCGAAATTTGCAACGGAAGAGCCAATATTGTTGCCATTATTCAAGATGTATGCGATGTTTACTTGAAGGGCCCATGCAATACAATTTTTTTATCACCCGTTCTCGAAATACACCTGCTCCAACTACACTAATTTCCATTTTATTTGCTGAGCTATTTAAAAGGTCTTGTGGTGTCTCGTAGATTTTTTTATCTGATGCAAGTTCCCACATCCGTGAATAAACGTGATGTCATTCCACAGCGAAAACCTAAATGCTTTATTGCTAGATTTTTATATTTCGCTGTCCTAACTTGTTTTTATTTGGTTATGCATTGTCATGTAAGTACGTGGCAAAAGGCAAACAAGCAACCCTTTTTTCAGAAAATTCTTTCAAACCTAAAAACTCAACAGCATCTTCCCCCAACGACATCCTAGCAGCAGTGCCATTTTTTTTCTAGAAAACGTGGATAATTTGTAACCGGCTCAAATTGCACAGTTTAATCAAATGCACCCTAGTTAAATTGGAAAAAGAGTATAAAGTTGCCAAAAAAATCGTCTACTAGAAAACTTATCGCGAGGAACCTATCAGCAAATTGGTGCTGTGTATCACAAACGCATTGCAAAAAGGTAGCATGAGATCAGGTATCTTTTAAATCCAAACTCGACCGGAGTCCAGTTTTCATTTAAAAAAAACACCTCGCAGAAATCCCGAAGCACACTGATAAAAGATCAAGCGAGGTACGTATAATCTTTACTCTTAGCGTTTCTTTGAACAAACATGGCACAGCATTCAGGGTGCCTTGCATCAGGGAGCTATCAAACACAGAGTCAGTACATACAAAAATCAAAAGGGTCAATGGTGGCCACCGCCAGCACTGCGCGTGCGGCAAGGACAAAACAAATTCCGCGCCGCTTGCGGCTACAAGGAATGCTTGGAGTTGCATTTGCAAAGGATCATGGGTACTGCACATGCGTGTCTGTAACACTTCCACGTGTTCAACATGGCCGCCTTAAAACGGAAACCACCGTCATCAGAGACTTAAATTTCGATAATTTTAGTGATTTTTGTGATATTCCAATGACAATGAAAGTCTGTTTACGTCTTTACATCCCCAAAACGTATCTCAATAAACAGAATTACTATCTAATACAAATTCTCCAAAAAATACAAACCAGAAAACTAAGAATGTAGCTGGTCCAGAGTAAAATTTAAAAACACACACACACAACCGTTGTCCTTTCTGTCATTGTCCACAACTGTCTCAGCATAAAAAACCTCACCACGTTGTCAAATGTATTCCTGCGGCATGTATCCACCTTCTTTTAACCATAGGAACCACTAGGATTGCGACTTAGGATATAAATATTGCAGTTCATATTTTGCGTATTTGTTCTCTACCGCCGGAAACGCAAAATATCTTAACTGACTTTAAAAACGTCCAACTTTTGCCATATAACCACTGTTGATTTGAAATTTTCGAGCGCATTTGCGGAGATCACTCGCTGACTCCTGAGGACTACTGAAGGGGACTGCGTGTCTCCTTTGTGCGTCTTTTCCATCATTTATTTACTCCAGTATGCCGCAGCGAAACACGGCGAGTTTGTGGGTTACCAGCTACCTGGCGGTGGCGATCACTGTGTACAAAGAATGTCTAGGGTCTTCAACACTGGGGCTGGTAACCGTGCTATGTCTATGGAGCCGACCATGGCAGTTAATCGGATTACAGTCTGTAGGGACTTCGTTCTAACTCCTTGTGTTTGATAGCTCCATGCTTGCATAAACTGAGGTGGTATCTTGGGCTTCCTGTAAGCTTTTTGAGATCGATGCTTAGACAAAATTTGTTTAAAGACACCAGCCCTCATCAGCGCCTCGTTGAGAGCGTTGGTATAAAAAGATGTGATGAAGGACGATGTGATAAAGGTCGTGCGGTAAAATCCCCAAATTAAACGAGGTAATGAAGTTTGATTGGGGTTCTGCCAATCCTTTACCGAAATGAGGAATCACGTGAGATTGTATTGTCTGGTATTTAGGCTAAACCACATTTCAAAGACAGGAATGCTATCGGCGCGCATATAAGGGCCACCACGCCGAAGCAAGTGTCAGGTTTTCGAAGAAGTAGACATTACTCTGGAAGCAGAGGCTAGGGTAGGGAACCATGCCTTAGCGTGCCCCTTGTCTTCATCCGTCCCAAAACAAACCCGGTGATTACGGTAAAGGCTCGGCAGAATCCCAATCAAACTTCATTACTTTCGTTTAAGTTGGGGATTCTGTCTCACCTTTACCCCATTCAGAATCACGTGAGACTTCAAAGCTTAAGGACAGTGTAACGTGTCAAGTAAAGTCATGAATGCGTATGACAGCATGCTGCATGTCAGATTGTAAGCACAGCGAAATCGCTTTATTTCCCGCAATTTCGGAAACAATAGTCAACATCAAAAACGATTTAACTAGCAATAAAAGAAGCACAATGCTTACCACAGACTCGACAAAACGTTCAAGCTGGCCTTCCTAAGACAGGCATTGGTCCTGTCCGGTGTCCTTTATAATATATTTTAACTTGTGTTTAACATTTATTTAATTTTATTTTAAATTCAATATTCCTGTCAAGGCACCTGTGTGGCTAAACGACACTGTTATTATTTACTCAACAGTCTTACCTAAGACTGAGTGGGCAAACGTCTTTTGTGGGGTTACTTCCCGTATTATTTTCTTATAGAACTTGGCAAACGTGACTGCGTTTGTCCATCCCGCCGTTTGTAGAATTACGTCGACAGGTACCCCCTTTAGCAGCAGATGTTGAGGCTGATCTAAAGCTGTGCGATTTAAAAGTTGATGCATCAGTTCCACTGAGGGCTAGACCATTTTTTCAGCCATTTGCTGAGAGTCTGTGTACATCGTAAGAAAAGCTGAGGGTTACCGTTTCGCACAGTTTTTGTGCGTTTAACATATTCAAGTAATGTACGAACAACGCACATTTTGTTATCTGGACGGTACATAGATAAAACTACCTTTGGCTGGGGCTTACCGAGCCGAGGTGTTTTTATTAGATCTGTAATTGCAAACGTAACAGTTTCTAGTGTAATTGTCATACAGTCCAGTCTAAGCAGAGACAATGTTTGAGGTCGTTGACCTGTCGTCAGTGCACAAAGCGATACCAGTTTATAGCTGAGTTGTTGTAAATTTATTCGACTCGGGGGTTCCAGACTTCGAGGGCACAACGCTCACATCCCACGTAGCGGTGTATCGGGTGAGCTATGGTCTCAGGTTGTATACCCCACGCATGAAACTCGTAGTCAGTGGATGACTGCCAAATGTAATATTACCCTCCATAAAAATTATTGACGCTGAAGCACACCTTGCAGTGTTAATGGTGCTGTACCTAGCTCCGTCATTGACCAGTTCGGTCAAAAACGCTAAGCATGTGTTCATAGGGGGACGAAGGGATGGACCTGCCGTTCAGAACAGAAACGTAACCATTTGCGTAGTGCTGAACTGTACTGTTTCTATGTACCGACCCTCCTGGACTGCAAGATGATCTCGATTGTGCCTCTTCAAAGTCCTTTCTGAGTAAGCGATTGTCAGACAAGTGTGCTGCACACGGAACTAGGCTGGCTGCTAGTGGGTGCCGACGCTCTGGGTCGTGTGGTTGGCGCAACAGTGCTACGAACTTGGTAATATGAGGGGTTCTGTTGTCAAGAGGCGGGGTAGCGGTGGAAACCAGTCTTGTGTTCTCCAGAGCGGGAAGATGAGCACCCCAGTAGCGTTGTCCATTTCTATTTTCTGTAGGACTCTTTCAATGCGAGAGAATAATGAGATACAGTAAATTGATCTGTTTCCCCGTGACACCGAAAATGCATCACACGTTATTGCGGATGGGTCTGGAAACCACGATATAAAGTCATCGACTTGGCAGTTAACTCCACAGGCAAACAAATCAATGGTGGGCTTAAAACCCAGAACTGACATTATGCGACTGAACGCCAGGGTCAAGTTGTCATTGTATGACTGTGATAAAAAGCCGGCCATTGTATGGTTAATACCAGGAATGTAACGTGCAACAAGCCATATGTCATGATTTACACGCCACAACCATATCCTCTTCGTCAGCTGATTGAGTTCCAACGAATGACAGCCACCCATGTGATTTATGTAAGATACAGCTGTTGTATTATCCATGCGTAGGGATATGGTTTTACCATTATCCATGCGTAGGGATATGGTTTTACCCTTCAAATGCCAAAACAAACGAGGAAATCTGCCAGGAGCTCGTGGTAATTAATATGCAACTGGGACTCATTATTGGTCCAATGTCCGTTACTTTTCAGATCAACTTCGGGACAATAGGCCCCCCAACCTTTGCTTGATGCATCAGTTTGTAACTGTAAGCTGGTTGCTTTCGGTAATTTAGGGCGAGATGCCGTGGGCAAATTTGAGATCCACCACTGTAACTCGGTTTGAGCTTCAGCTGTCAAAGACAATTTTGCTTGAAAATTGCCCCCATTTGCTTTGAGTGCTGCATCTTTGCAAATTTCCAGATCCCTGTAAAAAGTGGACCTAGGGGTACTGCTGGAAAGCAAGAAACCAACTTCCCAATGACGTGATGAGCCACAAAATGAACAGTCGGTTGTGTTAGGCCGGCTAAGGAGCGGCACAAAGTTACACTTGGCTCAATCTTCCTTGTAGGAAGACGAACAGTCACATGAGTTGAATTTATGATGAACACTACGAACTGCACTTCATGTGTAGGGTTGAGGCAAGATTTCTTCTCATTGATAGCAAACCCTAGAGAAGACATTAGGCGACTTCGGGCGAGCATATTCTGTTCGCATTTACCTTTAGTGTCGCCAATGAGTAGTGAATGGTCAATGTAGTTGGCAGAGACATGGCTTAAATTGCCGAGTGTGGCAACTGCAGGTTTCCTGACCTTTGTAAAAATACGAGGGGAACTTGTGAGCCCAAAACATAAGCAGGTAAACTGCATCAATTTGTTTCGCCATTGGAATCTCAAGTACATTTGATGTTCCCAATGGGTTCTTAAGGTCCAAGGATGCCGGGTAACAATCCGGGCGAACGAGTGTCGGGGCATACTCAAAGGTTTCCATCTTGAAATGATGGTATGCAATGAATTCATCGAGGCCTTTCAGGTTAATGATTGTACGCATGGACCCATCTTTCTTTGGTCTAAGAAAAAGGGTGGATACGAATCGGCCCTTACAGGGAGAATACAGAATAATTGCGTCTTTGTCACATAGCGCTCTGATTTCCTCATTTACCATGCTGGACATGGATTCGGAAAATTCAACAGGTTTAGGAGGGCAGGGCCGATAGGGGGTCTCGGTAAATTCAATATGACAATGAGATACGGTGTTCAGCACCCATGCGTCCGAAGTAATGGCTTTCCAGTTAGAAACAAAATGGCGCAGTCTACCTGCAATCTGCATTACATTTTAGGTAGCGAACTTACTCCCTTTTGCAACGGCGTTCTGTGTGTCGGCAACTGCCATTGCTGTAAACTTGTCATGGTGCACACCGATATCCTGACACACTCGTCTCTGGTACCCAAAATTGTCTCTTTTACCCAAAATTGGCACTAAGATTGCCTCTCCTGTAGTAAGGCTGTCGTTGCTGACGACCACGGTAGCGGTGGTCGGTTGATGGCCGACTTGAACCGCCACGTCCACCTAGTCTACGACCACCAGCTAATTCGGCATCGTAAACCCGGGAACTGATCTTATTCGTTTCTTGTATTGCTTTGCACGACTGGACTAGATCATTGCCAAACAGGAAGTCAGTAACCGGTACCTGGGAAGAGCACAGCGGTGCGTAACGGGCGGGTCCGGTCTAATAAAGTCACGTCTGCGCGAAATGAGAAGCGCCGTACCATGACCCATTATAGCCACCGCGTCAATTAGACCCTTAATATTAAAGTCCTGCAGTATCCGGAACATTTCCTGCCGCGGTCTTTGCGTTTCGCACCTGCAGCAGGTGGTTGGCCGTCTTAGAAATCGCGATTGACGCACACACGAGAGTCTGTTGTATATTTTGGAATTTCACATCCCTCGTTCTCGTGGCGGGCTTTAGAAAGGCCCAAATTTCCGGATTCACCTTGGTCAAAGCAAGGTTCTCGCAGTTTTTTGGCCGATCATACAACTGAAGTTTTTCAGTTAGTTTCTCTGGCTGTATTTTCCCCCATGCCAAAGAGTTGATCGTTTTAGCTAACTGTTTATTGATAAGAGGGCCCTCTTTAGTGTCACTGTCAACGAGTGCAGCCATTTCAGAGAGGAGTTCATCATCCTCAACGTTAGTGCCCTCCGTTTAGGCTGCATTTAGATTCAAAAGGTTATCAAACCTCGTCACCAGAGTAGTAATCGGCCCTTTTGGGTGCGACTGTATCGGCCCCGGGTTGCTTAACATTTTCAGGCGCAGGCTGAGCCGGTAGTAGGGCCGCTGTGCTCGGGATGTCACCGCCGAGGTTGTTGGCACTAGGATGGCCATGCAAAGCAGACGCACCTCGTCGGGCAAAAGCTTCGGTGAGGCTCGCTACGGTGTGCTGCAAATTGTGCATCATGTCGCGCAAATCAGGTTCATGCTCAGTTACCTTGCGCTTGCGTGAGGACGTGGGTTTGCGCTTCTGCTTCGGCACCGCAGTTTGGGTTAATTCAGCCATTTCTGCATTACGTTGAGCAGTAACCAACGCTTCGTCCTTTGAGGGTGCAGCGTGAATTTCAATGGAACATTCGTCCGTCATTGTAAAAAGATGGCCACAACGTGGTCCACATGCGCGCAAACAGCGGCAATACTTCCTGTGAAACACCAGAAATACACTGACAATTGCTTGGGCGTGGTGGCTCTTATATGCGCGCAGATAGCATTCCTTTCTTTGAGATGTGGCTTAGCCTAAATAGCAGACAATACAATCTCACGTGATTCTGAATGGAGGTAAAGGTGAGGCAGAA